GAACCTTTCTGAAAGGATATTTTTGAAGGAGATTACCTGAGAATCTGGTGCTATTACATTCGAAGTAGGTTCTTTACAGTCTTTCCTTGGTGCTCGTGTGTAATAAGTGTTTAATCGGTTATCTTACTTCTAGAATATCTGCTTCAATTCTTCTATAAACTCACATATCATGACTGTCATTTTGTCGATTTGATATTGTACTTAGGTTTGTATAGCTATAATTAAGTCACGAGACAATAGAACGTTTTTTAGCCAATAGATTCACTGGGAAATATTCTGGAAATAACGTGACGTCACAGAAAGGAACTGTGTACTGATACAGTAAATATAAGATGAAGAACTTACAAGTATCAATAACACAGTATTTATATGTTTTCTAATTATACTAAAATATATAAACTATAACATATACTTGAAGCTGATTGATATTTGTGTTTTGACGAATCTAAAGTGTGCTTGGCTTTTCTAATGCGAATCAAGTTGAGGCGGACTTTCTTTCTCCTTTTGTTCAGTATTTGTGGTTTAAACCTTCGTTTGTTCGGATTATAGTTTGTTGGAAGGTTATATTCAACTTCAATTGGCTGCTTCTTACTGGAATCACTATTTTCTGTGACATTTTGTGAAGTTAACAATTAATTGTGGAAGTTTAATTTCAAAAATTTTCTGGATGACGTTGCAACTATTTTCATTGGATCGTTGCTTGAAAACAATTTCTAGTGCCAAAATATAATCACTCAAGATCGTTTGAAGCAACCCATACTATTTCTAAAAATGGAAGGCAACCTGAACACCAAAGAAGTTTCACAAATGTTTACATTTAAACGAAAAAGATCACATCACAATTGCAAATCTTCTCAAATTAATCATTTTGATCAATTCAATTTTTGTCAAATGATATTCTAAATAACAAAATCATACGAAAAAGAGCTATTGAAAACATATAAATATCGGTATATTTCTAAAAAAAAAATAAAAGAACACCTTAACATCAAAAAACATCTGATCTAACATTGGAAGAGATTGTCCTGAATTTTGTCTTTCAAAGAAATCTCTACTCGTAAATCTATATTTGACATTTCCTCAAGTAAGAAAAAGTATTCTGGTATCTCTTAGTCTGAAGATTGAACCTGTCTGTCTGTACTTGAAAGGAAGGAAAGAAGTTAAAAAGAAACTATTGTCTGGAAGTTGGAAAACATTTGGCTTAACTGTCTCATATAACTGGTTGCTCTTTGGTAGAACACACTTTGTAGTTATCTGGAGAAGAATTTGAAGCATTGGTTAACATGTCTATACTTTAGTTATATTTTAATTCTTATATCTGTCATATATATTTCTGTTTTGTTATTATTATTATCATTTGTTGTACTGGATTTGTAAGTGACAATCCTTTGATGAGATCATGACTGTTTACATTCTGTAAATAGGCTTTTTTTGTTAATTCGCGTTTGATCTGCTAACACCAAAACAACAATAAAGAACACCCTCAACTAGGACTGAATACTTAACATTATACGGTGACACTTTTTTGACGTATTTTTATTTTTGTTGTGTCGCTTTTGAGTACTCTGTTTCTCTGATTCTCTCAAGAGATTGCTATTCAAGATACAGTGGTTACATTAAGTGTCCCATAAAACTCATTTATAAGCATAAATTAATATATTTTCTTCGTATTGACCTTGTGCTAGTATCAGAAAAAGCGCATTTCTTTGCTGGTTACTTCAATATTTCTATTTAGTAAGAGATACCATTTTTGGACAACTTAGGTAAAAAATGACGTAGCGTTTTCAAAAAAATTTCCTGCAAAACTTGAATACCTTATTTTCTTCGGCGGATAAGCATTCTCAATCGTGCGTTTTCCACATTCTTCGGCAAATTCTAGCACAACCTACCCTACTACATATAAATGCGGCAAGCTTTTCAGAAAAAAATTCTCTTTTCTTCATTCTATATACATACCTTTTCTCCTTATTATCATGCCTTACAGCCTCCCATACGATAAACGAAACAATGTCAAATCTGCACTTTTATCTGGCAAATCGATTCGTCAGGTCTCAAAACTAACAGGTATTGCCAAATCAACAGTTTCTCGTATTAGAAAAGAGTTGCCAGAAATGAAAACTTGCACTGGTACCGGTAGACCATCAAGAGTAGGTCATCTTACGGCTTGTTTGCTACGAATAAAAATCCGAACTGGAGCATTGAAGAATGTCAAAGAAGTCCAAACTTGATTGTCTGGACAGGGTATTGCTTTGACGTATAGTGGAACAGTCTTCCTGATGAAAAGGGTAGGACTATACTCAAAGTTCAAGCAGAAGAAAATTCTTTTGAGAGTTTCTCACCTTTCAAAGAGATACAAATGGGCCTTAAAATATCGTAACTGGTCCGCAAATGAGTGGGAGAGTGTCGTTTTTACCGACGGGACGAAGATCTATCTTTGGGAATCATATGGTGCAACATACACTTGGTTACAGCAAGGGTTTAAAGCGAGGCCCCATAACTACAAGCTATTGCTCAAGCATGGAGGTGGCTCTCTAATGATGTGGGGGTGCATGACATCTTCCGGAGTAGGATATGCCTCTCGAGTGCTTCAAAAGACAATGGATACCGATTGCTATTTGGAAACTCTAGGGTCGTCATACCTAGATACATTGGAGTATTATAGTATGGATCCACAAAAAACTATATTTCAACAAGACAACGACCCAAAACACAAAGCAAAGGCTACCATTTCTTGGCTTAAAGCCCACAAAGTCCACTTTATTGCTGACTGGCCACCTAACAGTCCCGACTTGAACCTAATAGAGCATCTTTGGAAACAGTTAAAGTGCAAGCTAGCCGGATATGATACAAAACCAAAAAATCTGGACGAATTGTGGTCAAGGGTCGAAAAAGAATAGTACAAATTTTGCAAAGGCGACATGGAGGCGTACTATAGCAGCATGCCTCAACGTATAGAAGCAGTTATCAAAGCAAAGGGCGGTTATACTAAATTTTGAGCATTTCAAATAAAGAATAAATTATGGTGAAACACAAGTTTTTTTTCTTTTAAAAATGAAGCACTGTTATTGGATGCATTTAGGAGTAATTAGCAGTGTGATTCTTATTGTCAATGCCTAATTAATCTATGTGCCAAGTCTCAGAAGGATCAACGGAGTTTTTGTAGAGAAGGGTAAAAAAACAGGTTTTATGGGACACTTAATGTAACCACTGTAAGTAATGGTGTATATGTTCTGTTGGTTGGTTTTGCTGGCTGTCGTTTGGTATTTGTTTGGTTGATATCCCTTAAGAATTGGTCGAGTTACAATTATTACAAGTTTGGTCCAATGGTAGTTCAAGATCTTCGGGCGAATCAGATTGCTTGTTGTGTTGGTGAGTTTTCGAAGAGTTTGGCGCAGGGTGTCTGTAGCAATGCTGGATGAACTTGTTTCTCCGCTCTATTGTATTTTTTTAGTTCTTTGTTTGACACTTTATTTTGCTTTGATAGTCAATTGACTTTCTACATACTCCTATTCTATATTTTTATTACTGTTACTATTTTGTTTCGTCTGTATTTGCGTACAGTCGTTCCAATGCCAAAAGAAGGCTTTTTAAATGAAAAGGCGGTTGATAAATATTTCCAAAGGGCAGCTTCTCAATTCCCCAAAGGCGGCTTTTTTTTTACTCAAGGGCAGTTCTCGATAATCCAAAGGACGGTTTTTTTCAACCCAAAAGGCGCCTTTCAACTTTTCAAATTTCAGTTTTTCACTTCAAAGTTCGTTTTATTATTTTAGAATCGAATAGCTATATCTTTATTACAAAGCTTCATAAAGGGTCTCCGCGCAAACGCATTCAAATGCTCGGGAGGGACGTTATTACAAGCTTCAGCGATACGAGTGGCTAGATCTTCAGCATCTTTAAACAAAGTTCGTTTTACCTTATTTTTGACAATGGACCAAAAATTCTCTATTGGGTTGAGCTCGGGAGAATAAGGAGGAAGGTAGATGCTCCTGTAACCTCTTTCAGCAATCATTTCATTAATTCGGTCAGCAGTATGAATGGGCGCGTTGTCCATCACAATATAATAGCCTTTTAGTTCTGGAATCCATTTCATCCATGCACTTCTCGAGAAACCTAACGTAGTGGCCAGTTTCTGTACCCCCAGATTTTTTCTTTTCTTCAGTAAGTGCTTTTCTTTTACGACCACTGTGAACAATTTTAATTCGCTTAGAGCGTTCTTGAGGATTACGAAGTTTCATAGTAACAACAAACTTTGTTGATATGGCGCCTAATAAAGTATGAGATACAGCTCTAGTGGCTGGAGTGGTCGTAATAGCGGGTGTTTCTTTTACAGACCATCCGCTAAGAGGTCTCATGTTTATATCAAATGCAGACTCGTCTACGAATACACAGTTTTCTAAGTAATTCATATCAGTAGCAGTCCACTTGATGACCCAATCTTTACAAGCTTGGATCTTATTTGAATTATTTCTAGCAACCTGCAAGCGTGTTAATTTCTTAAAGAAAGGTTGCACTCATCCTTAAGGAAGTTGTGAACAGTACTATGATATTTTGATAATAGAGTTATATAATAAGATGATATAGAGACAAAGGTAGATACTTTGAGACTGGTTTATACAATTTTATTGTTGTTCTTTTTGATTATAAATTATTCTAGCATATTTATACATGAAGAGATGTCGGAGTAAGTAGTAGTAGAGTTCATGCAAATGACTGAGTCTCTATTATCATAGACTACTTTAAATTAATTAAATAATGTAAATTATGGATTTCGGTTATACGTCTTGATCTATTAAAAAATCCATTATCTTATTCAGTACAAAAGGTTCTTTTATGTCTATTTCTGACATAAATTGATTATGATATATTTTAGTATGTAATTGAAGACTTATTTAATGTCAGATCATCACAAGTACTTTTCTTCACAGTCAGATCAAGGAATTTTTGAGTGAGTGATCCCATTGCATCAAGTACTCGTGCTTGTGTCCAATTATCGTAAAACTCTAACAGGTTAACCTTATGTCTTTCATCCAATTGTGGCTTTGTTTTATTGGCCAAATTGGTTTGTTTCTCCATATGTTCCAATCCCTATCCTCTTTGAGTTTCTTGTCCCATTTCTGTGCTGTTCTTTCGGCTATGCCGCCTGCTAAGCGACCGGACTTAGCTGTATTAAATAATTTAATTTGGTTATAATACATAAAAGCGAGCTTTTGCTCGTTTGAGTATTTGTGGTAAACTCTTTTCTGCTTCTTAACTATAGCTATGACCTCCTCCATATCAGCATCAAGATTTCTCAAGGAACCTTCGGAGGAAACCCCTTCTTCCTCTTGCTTTCTACAATACTCTGTAATACGAGTCAGAGATCTTAAGTGAAAAGGACTAGCTTCTTCAACCGAGTCCATCGCATTGTTTCCTTCCTCATCAACCAATTTTCCTTGGCCGTCTTCATAATAAGAGCGAGTGGTCATCATATTTATCTGAAGAAAAAACGAAGTTTAACAAAAAGAAAACCGAAGTTTGAAAATTGAAAGGCGCCTTTTGGGTTGAAAAAAACCGTCCTTTGGATTATCGAAAACCGTCCTTGAATAAAAAACAAGCCGGAGTTAAAAATTTGCCCTTGAAGATATTTATTGACCGCCTTTTCATTTAAAAAGCCGCCTTTTGGCGTTGGACGACTGAACAGTGCTTCCACTCTAAAATAAACTCAGCCAATAAAAAGTCTTAGGTAGCCTACTCAAACTTAAGAAAATTTTACAAAAGATCTGTGCAGACATCTTTTTGCTTCAAAGTAGAATAGGGGGTTTCAAACGTTGCAAAATATTAGAGAATAATTTAAAACTACAACTTATTTTAGCCAATTAACGTTATTATTCAAAATTATCATTTGAGCACCTCAATCTTGTAAATGAATTATAGTATATCTCCAGAAGGTTTATGTAACGAATCTTTCGACAGGAGTAATCAATGCTTCCTAATACTAAAGCATTAAAAAGATGTGAGAAATATTTTTACTATTATTCGCTGACCCGAAGGAATTGTGTGTGATAATTAAGCATTTGCAAGATATTTTGCAAGGCAATCTTCAACGAAATTGATGAAGAATATTCTTTAAAAAATAATAATCTGCAAATCAGTCTCAGCTAATCATTATCATTTCGAAATCCGAGCTTATTGCTTTTATAAATTTTATTTGCAACGTTTGATACCCCCTAATGTTCCTACAAACAAAAAATACTTCAAAAAAAAGTTATTTTTACATGATGAATGAAGCGACCAAAAAAGTTACAATTGTAGATCACTGTACGCTTTGTCAACAAAAATGCTCTAAATCTCAATCATTACGAAATCATTATTTGAACGCGCACGAAGGTACACATTTAAATAAATTATACAATATTTCTAATGAGATTTATCACGTGTATAATTACAATAAAAAGCCTGGATTTTCCTAATGGATTAAAGACTATAATTCCAAAGTAAGCTATCATATTAGAGTTATTACACAATCCTTCAATTCTGCTTAATTTACAAAGAAACTGCATTGTCATTGATAAAGAATCATCTTCATACAATAAACAGGTAAATCACGTTGATATTTAACATAAGAATTAAAACTCAGAACTTACTAACAATAACTTTAGACATGTGTGTATGTGTACGCTTGCCCTGCATGCCTTTTCTCATTTAATTCAAAGGAGTTGCTTTCAGTTCATATTCTGGAAAACCGCACAGAAGGTACACACGCCTTTTTTTCATCAAGGCTGATCCCTTTCTACAGTCCCAAATGAAACAAACGTGTTTCAAGGTAACGGTGGCTTAGTAGGAAACCAGTCTAGTTTGAGTAATTAAACAGAAAAAACATTGGGTCACAAAGTAACAGACGAAGAAGACATCAACGTAAACCCAACGGATTTATTTAATGAATGCAAAATAGACGAACGCTCAAAGAAATTTATTGAATGTTTGAATTTGAAGACGCTAACTTTTCAGGATGAAGATGAAGACAAGCAAAGAATGCTTTGCTTTATTCCTGACTCACAACACATTCATATACTTAAGAACAATAACAAAAGACTGAAATTGATTGGACCATCATCAACTTCAGCTTCAACATCTAACACCAGCGATTGCGCTCATACACCAAAAAAGTATACGGTTATTGACAAGATAATCAAAACAAGCCCATTGTTGTGATGTAAGAGAGAAGATAAAGACAAAGAAGTCGATTAGAACTTCTATAGGTTTATTATTCAAAAGAATATATCTGTTTTCTAGCTCTTCATTCTCTAGGTATTTATACATAAAGAGATGTCGGAGTAAGTAGTAGTAGAGTTCATGCAAATGACTGAGTCTCTATTATTATAGACTACTTTGAATTAATTAAATAATGTAAATTATTGATCTCGGTTATTGTGATATAATCATTAATAAAATGGTCAAATCAATAAGTCGATTAGAACCAAAACGGCCAAAAGAAGTCTGCTTTATTAGAGGTTATATTTTGTATTGTATTTATACTGTTTGTATGATAATTGATTATCCTTGATTTGGGACTGAGTGTGTATACACTAGCTAATCGGTTGAATGGATTAAGATACACAAGAACTGGGAACATGATCAGGGCACAGACCTCGTCTACCATTGGTATTGATGCAGATGTCAATTTGTGATTATGTGATGGTCTGATCTTTAACATGTTTAAACTAAGATAGAAGACATCCATCGAAGCTGCGGATAAAACTGTGATTGAAAGATATATTTATACATGATATTAATACTTGGTCTTTTAGGACATAACTAGTGTAAGAAGGGATGAATAATGCTGTGTATACAACAGTTATAAGTCTTGATCTATTAAAAGATACACTGTGTCACGAACGGAGCCCCAAATGATACTTACAGAACTTGATCCAAAGAGAATGATAATTTATTTGTGCAAGAGAAGATAAACAAAATATCTCACAAAGGAAAAAGGAACGAGATACAAATTATTACAGTATTTATACTAAAGCTAAAGTAACCGGTGGAAAAACAGGAAGACCGAAATCATACGATAAAGCCAAGCACGAGGGAATACAGAACACGAGGGAATACAGAACACAAGATACGGGACACAGCAGGAAGTAACAGAACACAGAATATAAGATAATACTAAGGCGCCGATAACATGAAACAGAGAATGAACAAGGGAGAACGAGGACATTGAGCTGGGAAAGAACAATAGTATCAAAGGTCTTAACTATGGGCAAGGATTCATGACAGTATCAGCATTTCAGCAGGCAGGTGATCAACACCAGGTGCCTTACGCCTAGCCAAACGCTTGGTCAAGAAGAAGTCAAGACTATCCTCATTGAAAGGACAATCGTCCAGCGAGTGAGGCCCAACAGGAGCAGGAGGGTTTGGTTGCCGATTGGCAGGAAGAGAGTCACCAGCAAAGGTACTTTTCAGGTGACGAGCCATCGCAGTAGCAGCAGCAGTGGGACCATCAGGGTGTGAAAAAGAAGCCGAAGTGGTTCGACTTCTGAGGATTTTCTTAATCGTGCCACTTGTTTCAGACAATGGCTGACTTGTCAATTTTCCACAGAATTGCTTCCATGTTAATCGACGACGTCGACGCATTGCTTTTTGAAAGGCCTCTTTAGACTTGAGGTATTCAGCCCATCGGATGCAGCGTTCAACCGGATCAAGTGCACGTAGCCAGCGGTTATGCATGGACTCACGCAGTTCAAAAGCCACTTGCAATTCATCAGTCCAGAACCAGGTATTGCCAGGAGAGCTAGGCTTGCGCTGACCGACTGACTCGGAAAGAGAGGAATGTATTGCATCGGTAAGTGAATCACTGATAGCATCAAGGTCTGGACAAGAGGTGGCAGTCAGTGCACTCATCAGTGTCTCTTGTAGCGGAGCAACCTTTTCAGCAAACAAAGTCGGATATGTACAGTCTGGCTCATCTAGTCTGGATAGATTCCAAAGAAGACGAGGATGACTAGTACGAGATGGAGGAGGACAAGGAGCGGAAAAAGAAAGCGAGACAGGATGATGATCAGAGTTGATACTGATATCATTGTGGACGGTCAAAAATGGATCACGAAGATCAGCAGCACTTATAAACAAATCAATAATACTGCCTGATACATATGAAATATAAGAGACAGTATTATCATTGGCGGAGAGAGGGGAGCCATCGTCCGTATCAGCATCACTATCAGCATCAACAACAATGTCATTACTATCAATAGTAACAGCATCATCATCAACACCAACAACACCAGGAACACCAGGAACACCAGGAACACCAGGAACACCAGGAACACCAGGAACACCAGGAACACCAGGAACACCAGGAACACCAGCAACACCAGCAACACCAGCAACACCAGGAACACCAGGAACACCAGCAACACCAGCAACACCAGCAACACCAGCAACACCAGCAACACCAGCAACACCAGCAACACCAGCAACACCAGCAACACCAGCAACACCAGCAACACCAGCAACACCAGCAACACCAGCAACACCAGCAACACCAGCAACACCAGCAACACCAGCAACACCAGCAACACCAGAACCACCAGCAGAAAAGATTTGTTGTCGTCTTTGTTTTGTATGTGTAGGTACACCAAAAGCAAAGACAGAATTCCAGCAATGAAGGCCAGAATCGACCATCCATTCATAGAGCATAGTGCCACGAACTGTTGACTTTGTATCGCCAAGTAGTCGGACATGACGAGCGTTGAAATCACCGCAGTAGATTGTATTTGTTTGACCAGGCAAACGGTGTACGGGTAGATCACGCAAGATAGAGAGGGCATAAGAGTCGGAAAGAGAGGCAGAAGGAGGAAGGTATAGACAATGAATGAGAGTAGAAGCGACTTGACATGAAAGAACATAGGGAGAGGAGGATGGCAAATGAGTTACAGGGTAAGGAAAGTCAGGATTAACAAGGAGAGTAATACCCATTTGACCACGACGCATATTAGGAACTGGCAAGCCATAAGTATGATATTGCTGCCATGAAGTAGGGAGACGTAAAGGAGAGAGAAGCCATGTTTCGGTAATAAAAATCAAGGAAGAAGAAGGAAAGGACTGGGTAACTGTATTGATGGTTAAACGATCTAGACAGTTTGCATTCCAGATCGTAATGGTAATTTCGTTAGTACTCATTACTGAGCACTAACTGATTCACCACCATCAGTAGGAGTAGAAACATGGGGAGTTTGAGCTTGAGATTCAGCTTCGCTCATCTCAAGATCTTCTTTTTCCTTTTCACCAGCAACACCACCAGCACCAGCAACACCAGAACCACCAGCAACACCAGAGCCACCAGAACCACCAGCAACACCAGAACCACCAGGAGCACCAGAACCACCAGCAACACCAGAACCACCAGGAGCACCAGAACCACCAGCAACACCAGAACCACCAGCAACACCAGAACCACCAGCAACACCAGAACCACCAGGAGCAC